GGGGCTCGCCGGGAGCGGCGCTTGGCTTCAGAAAAGGCTTTGCTGTGTGGCAGTGTCAGCATCATCTGTTGTCATAAAGGGAATTTTAGTGGTTTGGGCTCTCCCTGTGGCCGTGGTCAGCTCGTGGAGGTGCTGCCAGGTTGGCAGCAGAATCACTTCTTGTCCCCCGGGCTTAACTTTGCTGCAGATTTCTGCTCCTGTAACTCATTCTTGCCAGCAGCTTTTTATGTAACGTCGGGGCTTGCCACGAACGTTTCCTTTGGCCGTCAAAGGGATGCAGGATGAGTGGTGGATCCAGTGATCTCCTCTGAACCCGTGGGCATTGCAGAGGCCCTGCTGGAGTGAGCTGAGCTGTCTGTGAGCGGGATGACCTCCATCCTTCTCGGGAGCACTTCAAAAGCCGAGTTTGGAACATCTTTTCCCCTTGGAAAACCCGGAGAGGAGCAGGAGCAGAGAGCTGTGGCTAAACAGCCCTGCCGTGCCCACCACAGCACCTCTCAGGATGAGTGCATGGGTGTGATGGCCAGCATCCCTGGCTCCCAGTGCTGTGCTATCCCCTTTGATGGGCTGATTAAAGCAGCTTGGTTAATTGATTTTTGACTTGATGAGCAGTAGTTAACGTGCGTTGTCTTTTTTGCTGCCCGGGTTTACACTCCTGTTGGTCTGTTGAGCAGGTGTGAGCTGCCTCCTGGGGCGTTGCTTGGGATCTTTCTGCTGTGTAGGGACTTTCTGATGAGGAAGGGGTGGGGATTTGGTGGCAACCTGTGTGTGCTGTTAACTTTAGGTTTATTTTGAACAACAACAAAGTTTGTTGGTGAGAGCGCGTGTTTCAGCACTGGCCCTTCTGCTGTTGCCTGTCAGTTTTGCAGGAACATTCGAGGGATGAGCTGGATTTTTAGGTGGTGGGGCCAGGGGCCCACAGGGGCTGTAACCCACCAGGGCTGTCTGTGCAGCTGAGTCACGGTGAAATTTAGGGCTGTCCTGCTGGGCTGTCTACTGCATGGGGCCCCTGTGCCAGCTCTGGCCTTTGAAGCAGCAGGAAAAAAGTTTCCTGTGACTTTGAGAGCACAAGAAAAAGATCAAAGAAGGCTTAAAACCCACAACAAACCCCACAGTGCTGGAGGTGCTGAGCCTGGTGGTGCTGGTGGCTGTGGAGTCCCCGAGGCAGAGGGGATGTGTTGGGCTCAGTCCTGGTGCTCACCTGCGGGTCAGCTCCATGCAGGGGTGATGCCCAGGGACAGAAGTGATGCCCAGGCGGGCAGGGGTGATGCCCAGGGACAGAAGTGATGCCCAGGCGGGCAGGGGTGATTCCCAGGGACAGAAGTGATGCCCAGGCAGGGGTGATTCCCAGGGACAGATGTGATGCCCAGGCGGGCAGGGGTGATTCCCAGGGACAGATGTGATGCCCAGGTGGGCAGGGTGATTCCCAGGGACGGAAGTGATGCCCAGGTGGGCAGGGGTGATGCTCAGGGACAGAAGTGATGCCCAGGGCAGGGCTGAGGCTCCTGGGCCTCTGCTGGCAGGTGAGGCTGTTTGTGGGGAGCAGAGGAGGGGGAAGAAGGTGATCTAGGCTCAGTACAGCTGTCTTGCTGAGAGCCTATTGATCCAGCAGGCCATTGACCCCACAGGTGCTGCTGTGCTGGCACAGCCACAGCTGCACCTTCCTCTGAGTCATTCCTCCTCCTGCTGGAGCCAGCATGGGAGAAACTGCTGAGGAGCCACTTTGGAGCAGCCAGGTGGGAATTCTCAGGTCTCCTTCCTGCTCAACTGCAGTGGGAGCTGGTGTGTGTTGTGTGGAGGGCCCTCAGCTTCCATGTGCTGCTTGCAGAAGGTTTTCTGGGACCTTGTGGGGATCTGTAGTAGTAGTAGTTTTCTTGGTGTATAAATTTGTCACCAAGCTGATGAGTTTGGTGTGTTGGATTGGCCTGGGGGACACTTATGCAGGAGAGGAACCCATCCTGGGAACACCAGCAGCTCTGAGCTTCTGCTGGAGGCCTTCTCCATGGGATGCCTGTGTCACTGCAAGGGCTGACTGGTGTTTAATACCCCCATCAAGCAGGGTAATTAATAGCTCTGCCTAATTATGAGCATGACAGTAGATCCACAACTGCTCCAACCTTCAAGTGTGTAGGACCCCACTTTGGTTAATAGTTATGGAGGGACCATTCTCTCTTGTCACACCCACTTCACCTGGACACTCTGGGATTCTCTGGCTGTGGATTTCATTTTATGGCAGAAACAAACAGGAGTTGAGCAGCAGAAAAGGAGTTCTGTGGCAGAGGAAGGCACCTGGCACCAGCCTGTGCAAGAGGTACAGAGCAGGTGGTGGCATAGAGATATACAGCCTGCAAAAACCTGTTCCATATGGAGACATAGGAGAATTTCACCTAATCTGTGCATAGCCCAAGACACATTTATAAGGCTGCTTGTGCTGGCCCTGCCACCTCCCTGATGTGCCCAGGTACAGCCAGGCCCAGAAAACTGCAGCTGGGCAGGGGACTTTCCAAATCCTCTTTACTGGAGCAGGGGGCAAAGGCAGCTCATGAACCCACGAGCCTGTGCAGGTGTGAGCCTGGTGTGGGATCAC